AACTTGCCCTCACTTCCTCCCCACCCATCATCACCCCAGATTAGGGGAAAAAAAGGGAGTGTGAAAGAGCCTGACTACAAGCCAGCACTGGGGATATGTCCTTCCAAGTGAGAGCCCAGAGTGGAGGTGCCTTAACCCAGGGGTTGCACAATCCCTGAGCAGTGGATGGATCAAGGAGCAGTTCCTGGAAGAAGAGCTCTTGAGTGGCAGGTTGTCTGTCCTCACAGGGGTTGCTCTGAGCTCTGCCTTTCCTGCCTGGCTTGTGCTGCAGCTTCAGCCAGGGAGGAGGAGTGGGCCCGTGTGGGGTGAGGAAGGCTTTGGAGCTGGATTCTGGTGTTTGCTTGTGAGTTGCTTGCAAGACACACAGGGTTTGTGTGTCTTCCAGCCAGGCCTTGAAACACAGAATCACAGAAGGGTGGGAGTTAGAAGGGACCTCTGGGGATCATCTCATCCACCCCCTGCTCCAGCAGCTCACCCCCAGCAGGGTGCCCAGGGTCACACCAGCCACGTTTGGGATCTCTCCAGAGCAGGAGACTCCACAGCCTCTCTGGGCAGCTGCTCCAGGCTCGGCCACCCTCCCCCCAAAGAAGTTTCTCCTCCTGCTCAGGTGGCACCTCCTGGGTTCCAGTTGGTGCCCGTTGCCCCTTGGCCTGTGGCTGGGCACCACTGAGCAGAGTCTGGCCCCAGCCTCTTGCCCCCCGGGGCCCTTGAGCTCTTGCTCAGCACTGCTCAGATCCCCTCTGAGGCTTCTCTTCTGCAGCTCAGCAGCCCCAGGGCTCTCAGCCTGGCCTGGCACAGAGATGCTCCAGCCCCTCAGCAGCTTCACAGCCTCCACTGGACTCTCTCCAGTAGCTCCTGGTCTCTCTGCAACTGGGGAGCCCAGAACTGGACCCAGCACTCCTGAGGTGGCCTCACTGGGGCAGAGCAGAGGAGGAGGAGAACCTCCCTGGACCTGCTGCTGCTCAACACACTCTTCTTCATGCACCCAACAAAAACCAGACCAAAGTGAGCCCTGTGCCCCTGCTCAAAGGCTGGTAAATCCCAGAAGGGATTTTGGGCAGCACACCTTTGAAGTTCCATTGCAGATACCTGAGAAAATCTGCTTTTCACACAGAGGCTTCTCTTAAGCTTTGCCTCTCAGGCATTCCTCTGCTCCCAACAGCTCAGATCCTGTGCTCCTCACTTGCCTTGTCCACCTTTGGACCCTAAATTGGGGAAACACTGATCCTTCCTTTGGCTCCTGCTGTTCTCTGGAGGGAAAAGTCCCTCTTGAAGATGAATCTAAATCCATGACAAGCAACATCCTTGTACAGGATCACAGGAGAAGGGCTGGGACCAGTCTGACAGTCTAGTGAGGAACAGCAAAAGTGATTGGGAAATAGTTTCTCAGGATTTATGAGCAAAGAGTGAAGGGATGAGAGCTGTTTAGTCTACAGATGCCTGAGGACAGACAAAAGACTTTAAACGTGGAGAATGGCTGCAGAACAGAGCAGATAAATTTTTCTCCTGGGTTCTGGAGGCAGAAAAAGAAAGAAGGGGCTTAAATTGCTATGAAAAGATGTAAAGCAGGAGGGAAAAAAAGACTTTTGAGCAGGGCCTGTTGGGACAGGACAAGGGGGGATGGTTTGAAACTCAAAGAGGGAGATTTAGACCAGAGAGAAGGGAGAAATTTTGGAATCTGAGGGTGTTGAGCCCCTGTCCCAGGCTGCCCAGAGAGGTGGTCACTGCCCCATCCCTGGCACCATCCCAGGGGAGGTTGAGGGCTCTGAGCAACCTGCTCTAGTTGGGGCTGTCCCTGCTCCCTGCAGGTTGGACTGGATGGCCTTGAAAGGTCCCTTCTAACCTCAGACATTGATTCTGTGATCTGCTCTTCACCATCTGAAGCTGTGTCCCTGTGAGGTGCCTCCTGAACAGAGCTGAGGCTCTGCATGGAGGTGGTTTCTCCCTGTGTGCTGCAGGTGAGGGGTGTTGTTCTTCTGCAGGGGTCATGGAAGGAATTCCCTGTCAAATTGGAGTTTTCTTAAGGGACAGAAATCTTCCTTAGAGGAGGGGTCTGGGTGTGCTGAGCTCAGTCTGAGTGATTGCCTCCATGTGCTCCAAACTGCTGTGCAGAAATGGGGCTGCTCTGTGTGTGCTCTGCTGGTGTGACTGACAGTCCCACTCAGGGTCTTTCATAGCACCATGGAATTGGTTTGGTTGGAAGAGACCTTCAAGATCATCAAGTCTAACCCTTGACCCAGCCCTGCCAGGTCCCCACTGCCCCGTGTCCCTCACCCCACATCTCCACGGCTTGGAAACCCCGCCAGGGGTGGGGACTCCACCACTGCCCTGGGCAGCCTGGCACAGGCCTCCACAGCCCTCCAGGGCAAGAAATGGTTCCCAAAATCCAACCTCAACCTCCCCTGGGGCAACTGGAGGCCCTTTCCTCTGGTCCTGTCCCTTGTCCCTTGGGGGCAGAGCCCGACCCCCCCCTGGCTCCAGGCTCCTGTCAGGAGCTGTGCAGAGCCAGAAGGTCTCCCCTGAGCCTCCTTTGCTCCAGGCTCAGCACCCCCAGCTCCCTCAGCTGCTCCTCCCCACACTTGGGCTCTAGACCCTTCCCCAGCAGCTCCGTTGCCCTTCTCTGGCCACGCTCCAGCCCCTCAAGGGCCTTCTGGGAGGGAGGGGCCCAAACCTGCCCCCAGGATTGGAGGGGCAGCCTTCCCAGTAGATCCCACCAGACTCCCTGTCCCTTCTTTCAGGTCTAACAGTGCCTTGGGGTTGTGAGTCAGTGACATGGGCAGATCCAGCCTGGGCTGGGTTCTTTGTCTGCCTTTTTATTACCAGTCAACACATAACCCTGTGTCAACAGCTGACTTGAGAGTGTGAGGCCACGTGGACAGCAAGCCACTGAGCACCAGGAGCTGGGAGGAGATAAAGTCTAGTGCATGGAAAGAGTCTGGGCTTATTCCAAGTTCTCACTGGTCTGTGTTCCCCTGCAGAGGTCACATTTATGATCCTGGAGCTGGGTCTCTCTCTGGTTTAGTGTCTCTTCTCTTCTCCCAAGTAACTGTTGAACCTCTTAACCTCGTTGCACAGCAGGGGTTGAAATCTCCTGGACAGTTAAGCTCTGATTTGTTGATCTGCTTGAG